TTTTTTCTTTGCTCCTCAGGTATGAATTTCCTAGAGCTATTACCTATTTTTGGTATTCTTGACTTGTCTAGACTCATTCTCTATTTGTCACTTCTCAATGCCTATACACTTAACTCGATTGCTAGTGACCTTACAGTTTTATTAACAATAATAATGACGCAACACAATAAATTTCACAAGATTCTATTAAATAGTGACCACGAATCCCTGTATGTTATCAGAGTACAGTTTGTAAAAAATTTATTCACACTAACCGATTATCGGTCGTAAGATTCGAAAACTAGCACAATATGATGTTATCAGTCAATTTAAAAGATAGTGTACTCACTACCCAATCAAGCACAAATTACGTTGATTTAAAATCAAAAACAAAAAAAATATATAATGACAGAATATTAATGCCTCTATGAAAAAAACGTATGTGTAATGTACTTTTAGTCGGTCGCAGTACAATAGTCGAAGTTGTCTTTTAAAGAAAAAGCTTTCCCCGCTCGGTGCTGCACCAAACAGACAAAACTTTGAAGGCAGTAATTTTCTCAAGTGGGCGTCTATTGCACCCACCGAGTACTGTGTTACCTATCTGCCTTCGGACTGCCCGAGCTAGACCTACTAAAATCCTCAGGGCAGTCACTTTTCACAAAAACGTATTATGTTACAATCCACACCAATGAATCACGCTTCTTTTTAATATAGACTTAGTGTCGCGAATATCCGAGTTCGGACCTGTTTTGTTTTGGTCTGGTTCTTATTGAAAGGCAAGTTACCAGTGCAGTCACTGATACCTAGCCTGTGTGCTAATAACCTAATACCTCTCACTTTAGTCTTTCTTCCGTCTACCTAAGTCCTCTAATAAAATAATACCCCTCCGGATTGGCACAAATAGGACCCTTCCGGACTAACAAGATCTAGACCCCTCCGGATTGGGATCCTCTGAGTTATTCAATACTAGACCCCTCCGGATCTGGACAACTCCGGATTCGGACCCCTCCTAACTTGAAAAATCTTTGAACCCTCCGGATTGGGAGCCCTCCGGTTTCGTAAAAGTAGCTTTTCGGAGATTTCCTTCTTTCAGCCTATACCCCTCCGGATACGTTCTCTGATGCAATTTTGCTTTTTCAATTAACTAGGAAGGGTATGTACTCTTTTCCTAGACCCCTCCGGATTGAAGTTAAGCCTCTTATTCGACAATTCACACTAACGGTGAAGGGTCTTATTGCTCGCCTAACTTCGGCTCGATTAAGGTTTTACTGTGCCTTTAGCCTTCCCTTTTCGTCTAGGACAGCCTAAAGTTACTTTATTCAACCGCTATTACCTTTTGGTAGGGGTATAAAGGCTTTTCTAAAAGAGATTTTATAAAACGTGAAGGGTGTACCCTTCCAAATTGAGGAATTTGCTAAAAACAATCTCAAAAAATTTTCACGCTTACTTTTTTTGCAAAACTTTTGTCCCTATCAGTAAGCTCAGCTAATTTCTGATCTATTGGTACCAAAATCAACTCCATATGCCCAAAGTTATTAACCAAAACGTCTTTTTTCTAAAGTCAAGAAATTTCTCTCTTATAGTTTCCGCCTAACTTTTTCTGCAAATCTGGTCCTTTTGACCTAAAAATTATTGATCCGAGCTCAGAAGGCCTATACTCTTCTAGTTCAATGCAAAAGACCCGATCTAAAACGCTTTAGTTGAAAAAATTTGCAAAAAAACTATGGTACCTGTACCCCTCCGGATTGATGAATCCACCAAATCAAACACGTTATGTTCGATTTCTCTGCAACCCGGAAGGCTTTCGGGTAGCGGGTTTTAAAAATTGAAGACTCACTAGTGGACGTTGTCCGAACAACTATTTTTTACTGTTGTAACTCAAAACTTTCAAAAAATTTTCTGAATTTTTAGTGTTTCGGTTTCTCAAAAATCACGAAAATTCGGTTTTTGGTTCCAAAATAGTTCCAACCACTTCCGAACTAAACTTAACCGGTTCTATCTATTATGGTAGTGCAATTACGATGTAACACACTACTTTTTTCCGTTTCAAAAATTATCGATATCTCAAAAATCGCGACTTGTGGGGGGATCAAAATATCGCTATTTTGACCCCAAAAAACCGGTCTAATTTTGTTGTTTTTCACTGAAAAACGATATAAGACTATTAATATAGGCTATATAAGTAATAATATTAGTAATACTATGCCCCTCCGGGTTTGTTTAATATCCGCTTTAAGGTGCTTAACTCGGATATTCGCAGTTCGGTGAAGGGTCACTACAGTGCAGCATTGTCGAGCACCCCACAGATTACTATTTTAATTTTTATACCAAATGGGATACAAAACTTGGTAACGATACCCAACAGTGGATTGTTGTTGTCGTTGATCCTCTTCTTGTTGCTCCTTGTACTGCTTGCCGGATCAGTTTTCTCCCAGGACCCCTCCGAATTGAGCGCAAATCAGCTGACCCTTCCGGATTGAGCGCAATTTATCATTAACGTGCTTAAATGCTCAAATAACCCTACAGTACAAGCCTCACAAACGGGCTACAAAAATGATCGTAACAATCCTGACTGATATAAATGCCTGTAACAACAATATATCTATCAACAACAAACGGGAGGGTCGGATCACATCTTGTCTGGGGGGATGATTTCTACTGATTTTTTACTTTTTTACTGTTTTTGGTTTTTTCGGTTATTTTTTATGTTTTCTGTTTTTCTTGGGTACTATACTACTTTTTGTTTGGTTTTATATATATATCTTTAAGTGTTTTTGGTCACAAACCTCTCAGGGAACGAGGGAATGGCCGATCCCACCACCCTTCCTGGTTCGTGAATTTTCGGTCTTAACGAAGTTAAAAAGCTATTCACGGTAATCCGGAAGGCTTCCGCGTTCCGAACTACCCTTCCGCCCCGGCGGTTTAGGCCTATTAAGGGCGTTAATGTGAGCATCCGCTCGGCGCGGAGTGCTCGTTAATGGTTCTGCCGGTCATGACGTTAAAAAAGAATAACACCCAGGAGCGCCATAAAAACATCTATGTAACATTCGCCCGGAAGATACATATCGACGGAAAATAAAACTAAGTCCTAAGACGACTGGCTAGTGTCTAAACAGAGCTTTATATGCTTTTCATCGTCTCTTCCAAGCCAGTACTTTTGGTGGTCTTTTCTAACATCGGGTCGACAAAAACGTTACTGCTTTCGGCTTCGGTCATAACACTCAAATTAACTTAAGTACATGCAGAACTAGTGAGCTCATGGCTGGGTCTCAGTATCCCCAGACCACGAGGTCACTCCTAAAAACAGGGCTACTACTATTTATTATATTACTATTGTTTTTGTTCAGTAGATAAAAATCATCATCTCCATCGAAGATGTGTGACATTCGACCAGAATGGCCAAAATGCAATTTATGCAGGATTCGAATTTTGAGCAGTAAGCCTTCCGAGTTGATGATTTCGAAGGATTAGCGACGTTATTGGAACGTTTAGCCAAACGGTGAGGGCTAGAATATTCTAGTATTTTAAATTTTCAAAAATTCGAATGATGACGTCACGTTTCTGAGAAATGCTGAAACGGCCATTTTAATAAAAAAGCGAGTAAAAAACAGAACAACTTTTATCTGCGATTGCGAACAGTACGAAAATCGAGATTGGAAAACGACAACGAACTACAGAATAGCAGAGAACGTTCCGAGTTGCAACTATTGTGCTGCTACAATAGTTGCAAGGCCGTTGCCAACAACGGTGAAGGGTGAGAACCAGCCTTCCGGATTAGCAAGAAATGAAGAGTAAGGAGCTTGATTCGGCGGATTCAAGAATCCGGAAGGGTCTCGGGACGGAAACTTTTATTAACTCACATAAACTTTTAGCATCCTGTCATGTCCTGACTTGAATTTAACTGGTATTTTGATTAGTTTTGACAAGGATGAGGTGCTAGGAGTTGGGGGAAAGGGTTGATCCATCTTCGATGGAGATGATGATTTTTATCTACTGAACAAAAACAATAGTAATATAATAAGTAGTAGCCCTGTTTTTAGGAGTGACCTCGTGGTCTGGGGATACAGAGACCCAGCCATGAGCTCACTATTTTTGCATGTAATTCAGTTAATTTGAGCGTTCTGGTCGAAGCCGGAGAACAGTAACGTTTTTGTCGACCCGATGTAAGAAAGACCACCGAAAAGTACTGGCTTGGTAGAGACGGTGAAAAAAATGCAAAGCTCTGTTTAGACGCTGGCCAGTCGTCTTAAGACTTAGTTTTGTTATCCGTCGATATGTATCTTCCGGGCGAATGTTACAATGGATCAACTTTTCCCCCCAACTCCTAGCTTCTCATCCTTATCAAAATGAATCCAGTTGTTAATTAAATTCAAATCAGGACATGACAAGAAGCTAAAAGTTTATAGAAAAGAATAAAAGTTTCAGTTCCGAAACCCTTCCGGATTCTTGAATCCACTGAATCAAGCTCGTTAATCTTGATTTCTTCTTAATCCGGAAGGCTGTCCTCCACCCTTCACCGCTGTCTGCAACGGCCTTGCAACTATTGTAGCTACACAATAGTTGCAACTCGGAACCTTCTCTGCTATTCCTGCAATCTGCTGTTGTTTTTTGATCACGACTCTCGTAGTTATCGTCTGCGCAACTAATGTTGTTGTGTTTTTCTTCGACCTTTTTGCCAAAATGGCCGTTTCTGACGTTTCTCAGAAATGTTACGTAATCACTTCAAAAATTTAAAAATTAGCAATTCCCGAATCCTTCAACCTTCACGTTTTTTCCCATCGTTCAAATAACGTCGTTAATCCTGTAAAATCACTAATTCGGAAGGCTCGCTGCTAAAATTTCGAATTCCGCAGAGATTGCATTTTTCACATTCTGGTCGAATGTCACACTTCCGGGCGAATGTTGCAAAAAGATGGACTGAAAATAACTGATATAGCGTATATTATTATTTATAAGAATTCCACGGGAGAGTCCGTGAGGGTTCATCGACCCTCTTAGATGATTTTCAAGTTCATAAGTTTCTTATTAAATTTCTGCAGTTGTACTGTACACAATCACAATGCATTTTCCAAGTGCAGGTAACATCTTCATCAAAATATAAAGTGAAATAATTCCGAAACCATCGAAGAAAACCATACCTTGGAGAAAATTTGTCGATTTAGAGAAAATGAACAAATGCATATGGAGAGTTGGCTGGGTGAAGTCCCATTTCCACCAAGGTTAATTTGTACCAAAATAAAAAAAATGGTCTCTCTTGTACCAAAACTATTCAACTCGATTTCTGATTGGTCGAATTGTGAGCCAACGAATTATTACAATTTTCTACTGTTAAAACAAGAAAACTAGACAGCAAAATAGTGGCCGCCGCGTCGAGCCAACGTGTTGCGAGCTTGCCAACAGAGGGTAGGACTCTACAAAAATTAGACCACCGGCGACCTTAAACCAAGAGCTTAAAATAGTCGGCTTTGTAGTCTTTGGCAAAGTGAATATTTGTGGTACTAACGCGATTGGTTTTTATTTTGGTACAAATGGGACTGATTTATCATTTTGGTACTTGTGAATACCCACCGTTGGCTGTGACTGCTTGACGAACACTTGCAGAAATAAGACGACATTATAGTACCCGTAAACAGACTGGGGTAATGGCCCCATGCTCCCCGCACAGCCCCATCACTACTACTAACCATTAGAATCCGTTTTCAGATTGAGATGGCTGCTGGTTCTTCTGCTGGGTTTGATCGTCATATAACTATATTTTCACCTGAGGGTAAATTGTACCAAGTCGAGTACGCCTTCAAAGCAGTCGACCAAGGAGGGCTAACATCTCTAGCCGTTCGTGGCGATGACTCCGTGGTAGCTGTTATTCAGAAGAAGGTAAATTTTACGTTTAATTTATTATTTTATATATATCTCAATTTTATCCTTTCTTTTACCGGAACCCTGCTTAGACAGGCTCGAGCTAAATCATAAAGGAACAGAACTTGGATCGCCGGTTGCTATTCAATAATCAAAGAATGTTTAAATTTAAGTCTGAATGGCCAAAAATAGGGCACCAATATTGTCAACATTGAGACAATTTGACAATTGAGACTATTTATGGAAATTGAATTATATCCAATAATTCTTTAAATCACACTTGTTGTGTGTGTGTGTGTGTGTGTGTGTGGTCCCCGTCAATGATTGGGGGGCTTGCTCGCCGTAGCACGGATGAATTCGATTACTTGTTCGGGTTTCGTTTGGATAATTGACGCGGGTGGTTGGCCACCAAAAATCGCATTTCTTTCTTGATCCCATTTGGGGCATTTCGTAAGCCAGTGTATGATGTCTTCAGTTTCGCTGAAGCAATGCGGGCACGACCCTTCCTCTATTTTCCCGTGTTTAAAGAGGGTTTCCCGCAGAAATGGAGCTCTATTGAGTCTAATACGGTGGAGACTAACTTCTGCTTCTCTCGAACGTCCTTCTCCTTCCTGAAGTGGTTTCCCACCTGTCATTCGTCTGTGTGGGTGGTTTTCCGGTACCAACTTCGAGTATAACTCATATCGACGCTCCTCCTTTTGTCTGTTCACATCTTCTCTGATGTCTTCGAAGATCTTTTCGCTGATTCTCTTTTGCGCTTCCGATCGCCAGTCCGACCTTCCTTTTAACCTTATTTGTGACTGGTTTGTTCCAAGTCTGTTAAGGGGATGTTTTTGTTTGAAGTTGCAGCATTTGGCCAGTAACTTGGCTGCATTATCTATGCCCTCTTCGTATATTGTGTTAAGCTGAGCCTCAGCTCGAGTTTGGACTGATGGGGCCCTTGCAGGCGCCCCCACAATACACCTAGCCGCTGCATTATTGCAAACTTCAATTTTTTCGCGCGTTGAAGGCGACAGGAACATACCCCAGGTTTCAAAGGCATACGCGCCACCGGGTCTGATATAGCTCTTGTAGAGTTGCCTCAAGTCATTGGCTTTTATTCCCCAGTTTTTTCCGCTCAATGAGCGTACTATTTGTAGCCTTTGTTTCAGTTTCTTCTTGGCTGTGTTGGCTTGCGCGTTGAAACGTAATTGGGTGTCAATTTCCACTCCGAGGATTACTGTTGAGTTTTCATATTTAATCGGTTCACCCCCCATATGTAAATAGGGAGTGTTCTTACACCCGGTTTCTTTCGGATCAACTGTTACTACTAAGCCTACAGTTTTGTCCATTGCCAGTTCCACGTAGTTCGATTTAGCCCATGTTTCTATTGATTCAAGCGCTGGTTTGATTTGATTTGCCGCTTCCTCTATTCTTTCGGCGGCCACTTGTATAGTTAAATCGTCAGCGAACTGGTTAACAATGACTGATGGCGACTTGCCCTTAATTGCTTCCGGGAGTTTTGCTGTTGCAAAGCAATATAGAAGGGGCGAGAGCGGGCTTCCTTGCGGCATACCTTGGGAGAAAACTATAGTTTTACTGAATTCTTCGTTCCATCTGACCATGGCTCGGCGACCGACAGCCATGATTTCAGCCATTTTATTGCTACGCTTCCTAAGCCCCTCTCGGCGAGGTCCCGTAGGAGACCAAGCCTCCATACTTTATCGAAAGCGGCCTTAAAGTCGATCGCAACTATTAGCGTTCTTTTTTTGACCTGTAGATTATCCATTGCCGTTTGTGTAATGTTTGCTATAACATCAGTAGTTGAGCGGTGTGCCTGGAATCCTGCCTGTTCAGGCGGCACTAATTCGATTTCTTTCGCCCACTCCTCCAAACGTGTGAGGACCATTTTTTCCATAGTTTTGCCGATGCAAGAGAGGAGGGAAACTGGCCTATACGACTTTATTAGGTTTGCCGGCTTCTTCTTTTTGAGTGTCGGCACAATTGTAGCTGTTCGCAAGTTTGCCGGAACTTTGCCTTCACTCCAACTTCTGTTAACCAAATAGAGTAGATATTCCCTTCCCTTCTCCCCTAGGTGCTTGAGCATTAGCGGATGCACTCCATCGGAGCCCGCACTTTTGGGCTTAAGACTTCTTAATGCTTCTCCTAATTCGGCTATGGAAAATGACTCGTTGATTTCCGAGTCCCAATTTAACTTAATTGCTTCGCGTAGGGTCAAGTATGCTTGTTTCGAATCTTCCCTTTTGACTGTCACTCTACTAACCGAAGCATACGTCTTACAAGCAACTTTTGCTTTCTCCCTGTCGGCCGTGATGGATTTACCTCCGTAATCAATAGGAGTATTTGGGAGCCGCTCTTTTTTTCTGCCGTCCATGGCCCTGAGGGTGTTCCAAAATTTTGTGGTCGGGTCCCGCGGGCTGAGTTCAGCTGCATATTTCCTCCACGCCTCGCGTTTACTGACCTCTATCGTTTTCTTGAACACCTTAGAAGCTTCCTCGGCTGCCGAAATGAGAAGATCGTCGCCAGGGGATTTCCTAAGCTGTCTTTGTATATTATTCATACTTTTCTTCGCAACAGCGCACTCTTTGGTCCACCATGGTTTGCATTCTTTTCGAGTGGTTACCGGAATAGATCTTTTAGCTGCGTTCATTATTGCTTTAGCAAATAATTTTTCCAAAGCTTCAAGGGACTTGAAGTCCTCCGGTAGGGATAGAGATTGTTCTAGTAGCCTCTCGAAATCCGGCCAGTCGGCTTTCTTCATGTTAAGGTTTGGTCGGGTTTGAACTTTACTGACCTTGTCGCAAGAGGATATCAGAATTGGCAAATGGTCGGACCCTACCGAGTCTATTGTGGTCCAGTTAAAGTGGTTAGCTCTGGATGAGTGCACTACTGTAATGTCGGGTGCTGTCCCTGATCCATTTTTCGCAACTCTTGTTGCTCCTCCGCTGTTAAGCAGGCACATGTCCTTATTGATTAGCCATTCGTCCACTTCTTCGCCAATTTTGTCCTCGACTTTGTTCCGGTCCCAGCTTCCATGGGCATTTATATCCGCGCATATGATGGAGTTACTGCCGCATGGCCATTTGTCCAGGTATGGCTTTGAGTCTCTTTGATCATATTGTCCGGATTTTGCTGGTGGTCGGTACACATTATGAATTTCCAGCCACGAATTGCCAGTTTTCACAGCTATGCTGACTGTCTCTAGAGCTGCGGTTAAAGGCATACTTAGGCTGATTTCTTTACATTCTAGGCCCGGCCTAACAGCGATTGCTACGCCTCCTTGTGCCCTTTCGTTGGTAGTTTCCGTTTGGTGGACAGTGCGGTCCTTTCTAAATACAACCCAGTCGCTGCTGTTCGGAACTTTGGCCTTCTCGGTCAGTTTCGTTTCTTGAAGGACTAGAATGTCCGCTTGCGTATCGTACGCTAGCTTTTTTACCACATCCCCTTTCCCGCGCCATCCATTTACATTCAACTGGATGATTTTTAGACCTTCCTTAGTTCGTGGTCTGATTGGGTTGGGGTCCGCGGTGTTTGATTTCAGGTGGTCGCAACCGCAGTGCCATCTGTATCCATCGTAGGATTTTATCTCTCTGACACTCCATCCCAGGCATTCTCTGTGTATGTACTGGAGACAGTCTACGCATTTGATGGACCATCCTGTGTTTTTGACTTCCTTGTTGCAGAAGCCACATGGCCACTTCGGCCCCGGGTTGGGTTCTATATCTCCTGCCTCTAATAGGCGGCGACTCAGGTCGACAGGATCACCCAAGCGCCTTGCCAAAAACCCGCCCGATTCGTTCATTGCCAGTCGGGCGGGTTTTTGGCAAGGCGCTTGGGTGATCCTGTCGACCTGAGTCGCCGCCTATTAGAGGCAGGAGATATAGAACCCAACCCGGGGCCGAAGTGGCCATGTGGCTTCTGCAACAAGGAAGTCAAAAACACAGGATGGTCCATCAAATGCGTAGACTGTCTCCAGTACATACACAGAGAATGCCTGGGATGGAGTGTCAGAGAGATAAAATCCTCCAGTGTCAGAGAGATAAAATCCTTAAATCACACTTGTTCCCCTCCGAGGTTTCAATGAGGTACCTGCAATGGAAAAGCTCATCCTCAACAATAGTTCCTTCCAGTAAACAAGAAACAACACAAGTACTTCAGTATACAAGAAACGTTACAAAGCCCATTGCTGTGCTAATAGTACAGAATGTTGCGGCCACAGTTATCTTTGCAAAATATCAGTTCAAAAAATTGTAAATTGCAAGTCAATTGTCGCCTTGACATGGTTTGAAGTTATACTTTTGTTTTCCTAGCATAGTTAAAAGTAATATTCTAAATATTTTACAACGTTTTCGTTTAATTATAGTACTTAACAACTTTCACATTAGCGAGCAAGCATGCCAAATGTTATATTATGAATCTTTTTATAGTTTCAAACCTAAGATGCAAATAAAAGTGCTCATTTTGTGGCGCTTTTGTTGCATAGCATTTAAATTGCATCTGTTGTATTTGGTTTACTTGTGGTTTTTATTTGACCTTGGCGCAGATGCAAGAACGTTTGACTCTTGACATCAAGTTTGGGGATTTGAAACGAGGACATTGCAGAAGTTATTTTTTCAAGGATTATTTTTTTCTTTTATTTCCATTTTTCAGCGATTAACCGTTTTAGAGCTATTTATAACGTTTTCTTGCTTGTTTGCGATGCAGCTGCGCCGGGGTTGAAGGAAGCTTATTTACCATAATTGATTAGTTACTAGAAGCGAAATTTTTCATTTTGTATTTAATATGGCGTTGGGGGATGATTGTCACAAAAAATCTCAAATTAGAAAAAATTTCATTTTATTTTCACTACAATTACTTTTTTTCATATTATTTCTGCTCCATTAATTGAGGCCTGTTAGTTGATAAATTTCTTTTTTTTTTCAAATTGACTAGTACTGCTAATGCGTCATAATTGGTGTGCGTCACTTCAGAATTTTTGTAGACTCACAATTTTACTCATTCAGTTTTTCCCAGTAGCG